TAAATGTGAATTGTGCATGTTGAGTCAAAGAAGAATTTCTGTCACTGCATCAAATCTCACTAATAATCAGCCCAAATCTCCAGCAAGTACAACAGGGACTTTTTTATATATGCAACAACAAACTTGGGCACCCACACACACACACACACAGTCTGTATATTTCATATTAACCATAACTGTATCAGAAATTCACATTACCTGCAGGTTTGGTCTGTATAACAGGAACACAGCAGTACAATGTGTTGTGTCTTTGTTTATTGGAGAACGTTTGTCCTTTAGGTGAAGTAAGGACACTTACTTTACCCAGTGTGTATGTGTGTGCGTCTTTAGTCATGCGCATGAGGTCTTTAGGCTGTTCACACAGGTTTAATCCTATCTGCTTTCCAAGCCGCACTGCTTTGTCACTGAAATTACACACTACCACTACACATGTGCATGTGTATATGTGTGTGTGCGTATGTGTGGTGGCAGACCCCACAGTAAGGGCAACCCAAGGCTAACATAACCAATTTTCTTTTTCTCAGTGCAAGAAATCGAGCTCCACCCCTACGAGTGGGTGAGTGCAGCCAGAGGCCTGCCTATGTTCTCCACATGACCAAGCCACAATCTTGTCTACCTCAGCCAAGAAAAGGCAAAAGATGCAAGAAACGCATAAAACATCGGTGAAGGATATGAAACCACTTCCTGGTTAACGATATATATATATATATATGGGTCGACTGATTATCACATCCAATATTCAGCATTTTACTTATTATTGGAAACTCTGATATCTTGAGCAATGTCCCACTCACAGCAACTGAGTGAGTGGAGCTGCGTGTTGGAAGTAAATGGTAAATGGTCTGTATTTATGTTGTCCTTTTCTAGTCTTGATGACGATTGAAAGTGCTTTACAGTGCAGTTTATTGCCATTCACCTATTCACACACACATTCATACAGTGCACTTTTTTTATTATGGGCAATTCAGGGGTCAGTATCTAACCCAAGGACACTTCGATATTCAGATGGGGGAGACTGGGATCGGCTTAGAGGACGACTACTCTGCCCCCTCAGCCCCAGCCAAGTAAAGCTGAAGTTGAAATAAACACAACAGTCTTCAGTATGAAGTTGCAAAAACACCACGATCTTGTGAAAAAAATGTTTGCCAAATTAACACACAAAGAGCGAGAGAGAACTGAAGAGGGAGATGCCCATCAGGAACTGCTGAGCTATACCAGATCTGAATAATAACTTAACTACTGTGGGACAGAAACTATGAAAAAGGATGGGTGCATGTTTACAAGTTTCCAAAACTCAGACACTAATAATATAGCATTAGCAATGCAGTGTCAAAACACCCTGCAACAGCATCTTATCTTTACCTGCTGCTGAACATTGCTGTCACCATTAAAACAACAAATATGAGGCTGTTGCTTTGGAGGAGTCATAACTAAATGACTTGTCTCTTCAAAGATAGTTTGTGAGAGAGGAACCATCACTCTGTAACAACACTGTTTCTGCAGCTCCAACAAATCCAACAGAGAAAGACATGGTGAAACATGACTATAATGTTGGACTCAAAATGATGACAGCCATTAGCCGCCAGCGACTGACGATGGTCTACCCTACTTACCACAAGTGCTCTGTTCCAGTTTGGTTTATGGAGGTGATTTGGGTCTATCGGCTGGTACACCCAGACTTTTCAATTAAGGCTGCACAATTAATTGTATATAAAATCGTGATCTCAATTAATGCAAATATGCAATCTAATTTCTAAACGACAATATGCTGCATTTTAATTGGGGACTTCAGTTGCATCAAAACAAGTGCTCCTACTTTCTCCCTCAATCACTGACATGTGATGCAGAGTAGCAGGAAACCATCAGTGAAAATAGACAGAGTGAGAGAAAAGTAGAAAAGAAAATATGTTAACAAGATAATGAGTCCAGAAGAGAACAGTGCAGAAGGTGGTGAGAACCAGATGGCCATACCATTGTTTGTACACAAATCTGGCCCTGCTCAGACCTGGTATTAACATATCATACATGCCTGAATGTATCTACTGTGACCACTTGAGTCTAGATCTCACATCCTTGATGTACATATAAAAGGTATACACGTAGGTCATTTGTGTTCATGAAGACCAAATAATGCAGATGTGTCCGATAACAATGTTTGTGAGTGTTTCTGTGTGTGTCTGTGCATGAGAGAAATATTCATGATAGTCAGGAAGGGTTGATTGATTATGAAGAAAGATTTTACCCATTTGAAAAAAAAAATAGAAATCAATTTGTAGTTGTCAGTGCGGTGGCCAAAAACAAATATGTATGGACACCTAGAAGTTTATAAATACAGTCATTACATTAATTTAGGTTCATTATGAAACTGTAATGTAATGGATCAATGGACACTGAACCCCAAACTGCCCCTCATTGTGTGTGTGAATGGCAAAGACTGCACTGTAAAGCACTTTGAGTGGACATCAAGACTAGAAAAGTGCTTTATAAATACAAACCATTTACCATTACATAAGAGGGGGAAATTGAATATGTGAAGGCACAATTTTGTATGGTTTTCAATTGCAAATCAAGCAGTGGCTGGTGCTGTGGCAACGTTTTCTTTAATATTCTCTTGAGGATGTTTTTAAGACAATCACGGACACTATTTTTTTCTCTTTCCTTGAAAGTATTAAATGTAAAATTAAAGAAAATTGGTATAAAAATATTAAAATCTGCCAGATATAATAGCAATAAAGCATACTACCTCATTAATTCATTGTCATTCCCTGCTGTTACCTCTACGCATTCACATACACATGTACACACATGCACAACAAGACACTCATATACCTTCTTAGCCACTAATTATGATACATTGCGCACAAATGCACAAATTATGGTTATAGAAGTATAAAGGGGCACTGTGTAATGATCAGAATGTATGATTAGTGTGTGCTGATGGTCAAACATGTTGCTGTGTGCTCCTTTAAGACAACAGCAGAGGGCTGTAAAAGGGAGTGTGAATTAGACTGTAGAGGTCACATCTAGCTCATGTGAGACATGATCAACATTTGTCCACATCCATTACACATCCATTATAGGGTCACTTAACACAAATTAAAATAAGACAAGCCATCCAATTGTGTGTCACCTAAACCCATTGACATGGAGCCACTGAGTTAGCTGCCAACATGTTAGCGCTTTCTTTCACCCTATATTTCTTCAAATATGCAAGGTCATGATCCATCATATTAAAGTAGCTTCTGTTTTAACCATACACAAGCTGAAACCATCTGGGATAACTTGACTCAGTGGAAGAAGTTGTCACACTTCATATAATTCACCATTAGTTCATCATACCTATTAGCAAGGACATTAGAAACACATGGGCTCTTTATTATTCATAATGAAGTATTAAGTAATGTTGTGTTTTGGGAAAGAGAATGAAAGAGAATGGTGCTACTACTTTAAAAGGCCCATAGTGAGTAAATCATATTAAGATTATAATTAAAAATTCCTGTACAGCAGCTTCCTCACTATCAATAAACAGAAACAATGCAACATTAATGAATTGAATAGGTTCACAACATCATTCAGTGCTATATATTGAAATATTAGATGTATCCTGTTTGTGTCTAGTCAACTACTGAGTTACTTTTCTATGATTCACTTCTCAGTCTGAATGCTCATTGGAAATTACAGATTTGATTGGCTGAATTGTATTTAAAGATGATTTACAATGCAATGCAATGGTCTATTAGTGATCTTTGCTCAATAACATGACTCAGCTGATTATATAGACAAACATAAATTCAAAGCAGAAGAATAAATTCCACAAGTTTAATGGGAGCACTGGAACACTGCAAGATAATCAGTCTTGTAAGCTTTTCATAAATGTCCACCTGTAATAGGTCTGTGTAAATGTGAGTGTGTGAGTGGTAGCATGTATTTTCATAGCCTCTGTGTAACTTTCTGGCTCCACATTCAAAGCTTTCCAAAATGCTGGTTTTGTTGGGAAACAAAGCTGCAGGCCTCCCTGTAGTAACTAATCATTGTTGAATTGAGAGCCACAAATTCTCTTTTACCCCCTCCTCTTTCCTTTCAGTTTCTCAGCTCCAAGGGTGGACTGACCCTGTGATTAAAATTTATCTGGATGTGAAGAGCCTCTTGCCGCAAAAAGAAATGGAGATGTTTGGCTTCCAATGTATGTGTGTGTGTGTGTGTGTGTATGTGTGTGTGTAGTAACTAAAGGCAGAAATTCAACATGAAGTAGATACAGCAGCTACTATACTACAATACATCTATATCAACATATAAGGCTAAGATTTCCTCTCTCCAGCATTATCTTGCTCTCCACAAAAGGAATTAATTAATTAACACTTAAAAACTAGTAGGGAAAACAGAGGAATCAATGCAATTCATCTGTTTGCAGTTTGTTTACGTCTGACACAAATATTTGTCCTGCTTGTGCATCTTTGAATGAATTTGATTATTTTCATGCTTCAGGGTCGCTGCAAGTGGTTCATGTCATCTTGAACCTGGAAACCATGGCAACTCTTCTACCAATGCTATGCTGAGGACATCCACCATCCAACAGAGCGGAAGGAATGCTGATGGATCATTGTCATGCCTGGCACACAGCTCTAAATGGATATCAAGACACCACCTTAGAGAAAGCCATGATAAGGCTTGTAAGTTATTGCTCGCTGGAGATCCTTTAGATTTCATGCTCTTTGTTGATTAAATTAACTTTGCATACTAAAACCAGATTTCTCAATGGTTTACAATAGCTTAAACACAACGATCTTCTTTTTTTCTCTCAGCACGTCAAGGTAGCTCAGACAGAGACAATACAACTTGTTATATTAACTTTAAAGAAGGAATATTGAAGCAGTATTATCACATCGTAAATCAAACTCCCCACATACAATCCCACAAGGTTGGTCTACAAAAACTCGCACACACTCACAATACTGATTACAAGCATAATACATATTGGACAATTTTCAAATGAAACTCACCTGTCTCTTCATCAATGGCGAATCGTCCAAGACCACTCCCATCACGAATAGAATACTGGATTTCTCCATCTCTTCCAGTGTCATCATCATTTGCGGTTACTCTGAGTAGGGTAGTTCCAATGCGGACATTCTCTTTAACTAATGCTGTCAAGGCAAAGTGGGAAAAGTACGGAGCGTAGAGGTTTTCATTGACATCTACCACTTCCACCTCAACAAATGTGACAGAGAGAAGAGAAACCGGCCTTCCCTTGTCTTTGGCCTTCACAGTGAGGTTGTAGAACTGTTGGGTCTCATAGTCAAGCTCTTTTGTCAGCCGAATCGCCCCGCTGGCCCTGTCTACCTCAAACCATCCATTGTAGTCATTAGCTAGAGAGTATCTGACCTGGCCTCCCAACCCCAGATCTGGATCCAGGGTTTCTAACCATGCCACAATTGTACCGACTGGAAGATCCTCCAGAGCCTTTGCTTTGTACAGGTTGGGGATAAATAGTGGGGGACAGTCATTCACATCCTCCAATATGATCTTTAAACTTGTGACAGATGACCTCTGACTCCCTTTATCTGCCATATCCCGAGCCTCAATTTTCAGGTTAAAAGTAGGAATAAACTCCCTGTCTAGTTGGCCAGCAACATATACTATCCCATTAGTGGTGTTGATACTAAATTGGGTAGTGATGGTCAAAATAGAGTATACAATTTCCCCATTGGGTCCAAGATCTTTGTCAGTGGCCTCAACCTGGATGACTTCTGTACCTATGGCAGTATTTTCAGGTATGACAATTCTATAGCCTTCTTCTTGCAAAAACTTGGGTGCATTATCATTAGCATCTTCTATGAAAACACTAAGCAATCGCCAGGCAGTTTTCTGTGGCAGGCCAAGGTCAAAGATTGTTAGGTTGAGGAGATAGCGATCTCTCTTTTCTCTATCTATGGGCAGAAAGACACTGATGAGGCCTGTCTCCATGTCAATGGTAAAACAGCTGTCAGTGTTTCCATCTGAAATAGAGTAAAGAATCTGACCATTGAAACCTGTGTCACCATCGTAGGCATTCACCTTGAAAACACTCGAGCCCATCTTTAGGTCTTCTCTCACAGCTATATCTGTAGGAAAAGCTTTATCAAATTGGGGTGTTTGGCGGTTGACAGAGAAAAGGTCAATGAAACCTTCTTCAATTTTGGGCTTGGTGCTAGCTTTGGACTTTTTAAGTAACTTTTCAGCTAACTTTTGGGCTACCCTTGTCTCTTTACAGTTAAAACCTCTAGGAGGAAATTTCCCTTGAACAACTGAAATGTTAACAAACATAGGATCAGAAAAGTTCTCACCATCTGTGGCTGTTATTTTTAGACTGAAGACGCTGTTCTTTGGACTAGCTGTCACAAGGGGACGTCGCAGTGCAAGAACCCCTGAATCTGGGTTCAGGTCAAAGTAACCCCATTCGTTCCCTGAAATTATTTTATATTTCACTAGCTCTAACTCATCTATATCAATCGCTGACATTGTGGTGATCACCTCCTCCACTGGAAAATCCCTCGAGATCACCCCCTGGCATGCTACATTCTCAAACAATGGCTGGTTATCGTTAACATTTTCCAGGTGGATTGTTACATTGACTTCACTCTCTCGCCTATAGGGCGAGCCCCAGTCAGATGCTCTAACAACAAACACAAAGCTCTCTGGTGAAGATTCAAAGTCCAGCTCTTTAGTGGTTGTGATGATACCAGAAAATTGATTGATTTTGAAAGGTAATGGAAGAAGGCTGGAAATGCTGTAAGTAATGTATCCATTTTCTCCTTTATCCTCATCTACTGCAAAAACAGTTAATACATTGGTCCCAACTTGTACACTTTCATTCACAAAAATCTCATAAGAAGACTGAGCAAATGTTGGTGTGTTATCATTGGCATCCTCAATTGTCACACGCACTTTAACTTTGAGCTCACTACCTTTTTCCAATACCTCAAGATTAATAACATCCTGGGTCCCCTGAGTGAGCCAGGTAGTGGTGGATATGACACCTGTTAGGGTGTTCATTTGAAAGAAAGCTGAATTTGCAGAAGGTGCCAGGATATATTCTGCATCATCAGGCTCTGGTTTTATTTTAACAACTTCTACAATTGTGCCTGGTGGTGAAATTTCATTCAGACAAACTTCATACAACTCCCGCTCAAACATAGCTTCCCCCGTCTGCTGTTTCTTGAGGATAATGTGGACAACCTTGACCGCAGAGAACTTCTGTGGGGTTCCCCTGTCTTTAGCTTGCAAAGTGAGGTTAGAGCCATAAGGATATATCTTCCATTGTACTAACTCAGAGGCCTTTATTGCAAACTCTCCTTCCCCAGATCTTTCTATGAAAAACTGCTCTGAGGGGTCTCCTCCTACAATATCCACTGAGTCTATTTCTCCATTTATACCTTCATCTAGGTCTTCAGCAGTGACCATGGCATACACAGGGTTTTTATCAGGCAATGAGGGACTGTGGGTGACCACATTCATCACTGGGGCATGCTCATTCACGCGCTCTACATGAACAAAAAGCTTGGCTGTGCTGCTGACCCCATTATTTCCATACAGCTTCATTCCGCGATCAACTGCAAGGATTTCTAAGTCGTACCGATTTTGCTCATCAACATTAAGCTTTCCACTGAGAGAAACCACTCCACTGGTTGGGTGTACTACAAACAATTCCATTATCTCCTTGAAAAAGTAGTAAAACTCCCCATTGGAACCAATATCTGCATCTGTGGCAGTAACTTGTGCTATGCTCGTCCTGAGAGGTGTGCTCTCCGCTATGGTAACGGAATAAGTGGTGGGTGAGAACAAGGGTCGTAGGTCATTCATATCCAAGACTTGGATGCTGACTTTAGTCCAGGTCTCAAGGAAAGGTTCTCCCTTGACAGAGGCTTTCACTGTCAATACATAATTATCCTGAATCTCTCGGTTTAAGATGGCTGCATTGCCACCTTTAGTCCTTATGCGCAAGAAGCAGAAATCACCAAGCACAAACTCCTCTGCTTTGAAAAGCCCTTCATCATCACCTAAAGTGATTCTGTAGCGGACCTCCCAGGAGCGCTGAGCCAGGTGGATGCCCATTTTAACTTTACTGTTGGCAAAGGTGCGTGCAGCTGAGTTTTCATAAACTGTAGCATGGTAGACAGTGTGAGTGAAGCCAAAGTTAGGTCCATCATGAGGAGCCCCCTGTGTGCTCTGGCTGCAGGAGAGTGGTAGTTTGAAAAGCAGCAGCAGGGCCAGGCCGAGGATAGGGGCTGGCATGCCTGCCCACGGGCACATCTTCACATCCATCCCATCATCACTCAATCCTGAAATAGAAAGAGACAGAGAAATAGAAAAAATAGTTAGCAACAGGGGGAGGGAGTCCCAGCAACAAAAGGCATTCAACAAATCCACGACTTGACCTTTCAACTCCCTGGCGTGACAGGAGACTAATTATCCATTGGACTACAGAGACTGATTGGAGTAGAGAGGGGAGGAGGTGTCCAAAGTTACCAGGCAACCAAAATGAAGGCTGACATCATCTTTGTGTGGTCTCTGGACACTGATTTTCAATTGCAAGTTTCTGAAAAAACAGAAGTGATTTCAGAGGGAACAAAATAATTGTATAGCTAGGAAGAGCAGTTGAGCAACAACAAAACAAACACTAAAGAAAAAAGAGCAGAGAACAAAATTATGGGCTACTGCACCATGACCCTATCATAACCCTTTTCCTGAAATACATGACAACTGCAGCCCTGTGTCTCCAAACCATGTAATATAATCCAGAGGCAAACCAGATATGGTTATGAAATTGTTAGACAAGTCAATGCTGTGTTTTTGTTCTCTTTTTCAGAAAATAAAGTGTTCTGAAAGTAAGAAGCCACAAATATGTGCCAATCTAGGCTCTTGGGGTAAAGCCTGATCCGCTAAAAGCCATGTTGTTGCGATGGGAGTGCAACAGAGGTCTACATTTTGATGAGTCACCACTTTCCACCACAAGGGATGGAGAGATGAGGCAGGAAACGACAATCCATGTCCGAGCACACTGATAATAACACACTACCAAAAGCACAGCAAAATCTATTAATTCTCAGCATAACACATAATTATATACACATGCACACAGTTCCCACAAGAGGGATGGGTGGCTGTGGCTCAGGGGTAGAGCAGTTGTCCTCCAACCAGAAGGTTCAAAGCTCAATTCCTGTCTTCCCCATTCCACATGCCTAAGTGTCCTTGATAGTGAATCCCAGAGAAAAAGTCCTGCACTGTATAAATCTGTGTGAATGGGAGAATGGAAAAAAATGTACTGTAAAGCAATTTGAGTGGTCAACAAGAAAAGAATAACAAAAAATAAAGACCATAAAAATATATTTTTTTAATTTAAAACTAGAGTCTTACCTTCTGACAAAAAGAAAAAACATTTAACTTTGTTAGTCTAACTTTAGCCAAAACAATTGAGTCAATGCTCAAGCCAGCATTTAAATGCAATACAGCAGCCACCCAGGATTGAAAGGATAAATCCCATAAATCAGCAACACTAGAAGTGTCTCAGAGCAGTCTCATCAGCTTTACTTGGTCAGTACATCTTGCCTTTGAAAAAACTGCTGCCAGCTGGGAGGCAAAGTAGGATGCAGAACACTGTGTTAACCCTTTGGATCCAGGCTGTTATTGAGCATATTTCACTCTTTACTTATTGACCTATGCCAGAGATGCTACAACTCTAACCTCAGTGTATTCATAATGCTCATCATGTGGCATGCAAGTGATATTTTACCACATTGGTCTGGGTTTTCTGCCTGTATATCAACACTGTAAATTCACAATGTGAAAATATGTATGTGAATGGTATGAGTGCCAGTGTCCAAGGGAACATAAGAACCCTGTTGAGGGGCATTCTGAGCTCTGCTAAAAATCATGAACCCTTTTTGATTCTCTTATTATTTGTATTCAGGTTCTCTTTCTATTTAGGTAAATATGATCATGATAAACCATGATTTAGGTCAGTAATTCCTACTTTACGTCCTTCAATTACCAATCACAAGTACTGTGCTATTTAATACTGCTCATTTGAAATATAGGGCTACATGTCAGTATGCAGTTCTTTACCTGAGTATGTCAGACAATCATGGGATCTATTAGGTAAGGTAAAAAAAAGGAAGTGTATTTCAACAACAGTCGTTCAATTAGCTGCAGGTGAAATTTTGACACAGCTTTTAACCAACTACGTACATTATGACATTTTGGCAAATCTACTCAATGTAAGGTCATGCTGCATTAGATACTCCCAATCCTTGTTTGCAATGTACTGTATCTCCTTTGCCTGTTGAAAATCTCTAAACTTAAGGATTTAAAACAGGGTCTGAAAGCAAAGTCAACTTGCATAGTGCTTTTCATTAATGGAGATTATTCGTCACATTAGTAAGTCTAACTGACTACAGTTATAATATGACTCAATTATAATTGTGATTTTAGATGCAATTTGTGTCTGGTTCTTAGGCTTGATAACCCTTTGTCCTTTAAGTATGCATAGGGTACAGAGCACCACACAATGATGCTTACAAGTATGCCACAATAGTTTAAGAAAGTAAACCAAGACTTCAGGGCTTTGTTACACCAACAGCTAGTCTTTTTCACTACCTTTCAAAATATTTTAGAAGCAAGCACTGAACTCGTGGCTGCTTAAATCACAATCAATGAGTAAGTTAAAATAAAAAAATTTCTTATGGTGTTTATGATTATGTGTATGCTGAAAGAATGGCATGTGTGTGGAAAATTGTACCGATGAATCTAAG